CCGTGTTATTAGGTATTTATTGATGATTTAGGGATTCATTTTTATTATGTAACATTTCACATGAAATCATCATTTTCCATGTTTAGGAAGTAAGACCAAACCAGAAATTACTGTCATAATTGAAAGTATCCATAAAAAAATTGTTAAGAAATCTATCAACTCATAACTGTTAGAACGTGCCACGCTTGAAATTACGTTGAATTAAACAGCTTCAGCGGTTTGCTCAGCAGATTTTATTTAAAATATTAATCAGTTTTGAGTACGTTGGACATTTCTGAATAAGAATAGCTTTAGCACCACTGTGCGCCTATTGTATTTTTATAAGAACCTGTTTTTCATGCCAGATATACACTCGGAGGTTTGCTATTGTATCGCGAGGGACGACCGCTGTTAAGAAGAAACATTTCTTCTATATTTTTTTGCGATGTTGCTTTGACCAGGGCCAGGAAACCAGGCCCTGCGGAATCTTTAAAATTTCAAACTACTTTTAAAATGTCCGCAGTTGTACTATATTTCACCCCTAGTTTGATTAGTATATTAATTGCTTCGTGTGTTTAGAGATTTTTTTTTTTTTTGGTTTTTGTCGTACGGTGTAATATTCTACAAATGCATCCGTAATTGAAAGGCAAGCCATTAAGGAATTAGCTTCCTGAGTTAACTTACTTCTTCTTCTGCTTGTTTGGCGCTGTAACAGCCTAAGCGAATTCTTTTAACTCTGTATCAAAGAGGCTTATAGTTTTTGTTAAAAGAAAAACCAATAACATGTTTACATTCTTTGCAATTTCTTTAGAAGCGAATCACCTCAAGCATTCTTATTTCGCTAGGTAAACATTTAGAAAAAAATGTTTAAATTACTTCCGGGATCTATTGTGCATTCTTTTGTATATCTATTACAAAAGAGGCTTTCGCTACATAAATGCAGAATGCATATATACACATACATATACCTAAATTCAGTGTCTAAAGGGGTGTGTTTCTTCAATTATATGTGTAGTTACAAACCTGCGCATAAAGCACATAGACAAACAGTGAAAAGTTACAAAAAAGTCTCTGTCTGCCGCTTGGTATTGTGGACACTTCAATTTCGGCAAGGAAGAAAAACGAAATAAATTCGTGTACGTAATTTCGTAGTTCGAAACTCTCTTTCGCAGATGTTGTCATACGCTCGAAATAATGACGTCATTTTCGACTTTTCGGAAACTTTCGAAAATGAAAAGTTATTTTTTCTTTTTTGTGTATACACACATATGTACATCCCAACATACTACTATTCAACCCCAAAAATTTGTAAACAAAGCCCTAGTAAACAACTTGTTTAGTATTTATGTATAAGTGCTAACAGCTGGTTGCATATACTAAGTATGCAAGTGCATTTATGTTTATACCTATGTATACCTACACATGCCCATATAACTATATGTAAATAAGCGCCAGTTTGACATTGTTAACGTTTAATCGACATACATAATTTCTTAGAAGCTGAGTCGTTGGGTGGTAATGGGAAATCTTTTTTAATGCACCTGCACAAGTTGAATGACCATTTGGCAAGTGTGCGGTGTGTTTGTTTTGTTTTAAGAGGAGACAAAAGTTTTACTAATATTCGGGTTGTTGTTAGTTGGGGTGGCCAATCTGTTATTTAACGAAACAAAAGACACCTCAACAATGAAGCCTTCGCTACAAAGGAGCTCAAAAATAGTTTTTTTTTTGTTAATTTCGGTGTACGAAGAAAGTAATTAGATATGGGCAAATGCTGGCGTTGCAGGTGCTATTTAATATTTTTGCCAGCAAAAAAGAATAAGTTAAAAAATTTTAATAGCATGAGGAAAGATTTAAAGCAGTACTTATGAGAACAAAATAGTGGAAATTTGAATTCAAAGGAATGGGTGTGTATTTTCTCTCAAATCTTAGAATGGACGCTCCGCCAGAAATAAACAAATACACCGTGAACTTAAAATCCCTATTGCTGCTTTTGAAAAAAAAAATAACGCCTTGGCGCACCAACAAAATCCCTCGTAGTCCGAATTTCGTGAAATGAAAGAGATAATGCTATAGGATTTTTGAAACTTTAAAGTTTTTTGGTTAATAGACACTGAAAATGCGCTTTTAATTCATTTTATTTGTTTAATATAAAGGATGAGGACATTTTCCATACCTATTCGCTCTTATGCACCAAAAAATTCAATAATATTTAATGAAACAAAATTTTCTATTTTATTTGTTACCCGCATTATTATTCTACATTGCATTGATTTTTTTAAATAATTTTTTGAATTAATCATATTTTTTCAAAATCCTTTTAAAAAAATCTTGACGGCAGAGAGAACAAGTAAATACGCGTTTTTTTTGTATTTTGTAAAATTTACTGTCGCACGGTGTTAAACATGTAAATGTTTTTACATATGTTTGCATGAGCGTAGCCAGGTAGCCAGGCTCGAGTCCCCCCGCCCTAACTTCCAAGTTTTCCCTATATACATATCAGGAATGTTGCGAATATTTGCATTCGCATTCGTTATGCGAATGATTCGCATCATTTTACATATTCGTATTCGACATTCGCCTTCGCATCAAATGATACGAATGTTTTGCGAATGTGAATGGATACATTGGCAGAGAGTCCACTCTAATATTGTTGAAATGGCTCTAAGTCTGTCTAAGGTGCGTACCAGTGTTGCCATTTTAGATTTTCCAGCTAGATTTAGCTGTTTTTTCACCGTTAAGCTAGAAAAATTTAAATTTGGCTGCTAGCTTTTTTCGGTAAATCTTTTAGCTCTTTCTAGCTTTTTTCTAAATTTAGGAAAATCCTAACAAAAACTATTCTACGAATAAACACGGCTCAATTAACCTTCACAAAATTGTAAAAAGCGATAAACCCAGGTTCCATGTACATTAGTCTATCTATACTGTATGCATCCATTGCTCTGTTTGAGGGAACAAATAATCGATTATTGTTGAATATTTGCAAAACTGCCGAAATATGGAGAGGTATAAAGTTATAAATTATCGAATTTAATAATTAACATTTACTATTTAATAGATATTTTAAGATAGTTGATATGCCCGTACCCCAAGGGAGTATTATCTAGGCAGACAATACAAGCTCAAGCAGTTCCTCGGAAGAGCAGCCTTCGCCTAGAATTTTTCACAATTGTCCAATATCTGATTTTTTAATCAAAAAGCTGTTTATTGAAACTACAGATTACAAAGAGAAAATTTAGAGAGAACTTAAGACTAATTAAAAAATTCATTTAATAACATTTTGAAATGGTATTTTGAAGAAAAGTCAAGACCATTAAGAATTGAAAGCGAATTAAATTCTCCCAATGTTCTCAGAATCGGACCATTACAAGCATAATTAGTTTTAGCCGTGCCCAACCAGAAAATTTTATGATTCCGTAGACTTCGCTGCGGAATATTGAAATTAAGTTTTTCCAGTAAAGATCATAAGTGGTTACAGAGATAAGCGATATGAAAAGTTCAGTATGGGAGGTGCCTCGTAGAGTCCGACCGATTAATCGGCCGATGCCGAGGCTAGTATCGGCCAAGAGAATCGGCATCGGCGGTTCCAGAGATAAGCGACATGAGAATTTCAATTCGCTTGGGCGGTGCCACGCCCCCTTTTCCAAAACCTACCACTTTTCGCGATAAGTACGCTATTTATATCATAAATAGCTATGCCAAATCTCAGAATCTTAGCATAAGCGCTTCCAGAAATAAGCGATATGAGAATTTCAATTTGATTGGGCCACGCCCCATTTTTCAATACCTGCCATTTTTCGGCGTAAGAAGGGTGGTTACAATTAATGCATCTGTACCAAGTTTCAGTTCCTCAGCATAATTGGCTTTAGAGATATATCGGTTTTCACATTTTAGTCTGTAAAAGGGAGTTCAAAATTTTCTTGTGGCGTATTTATATATGTATAGATAATTACTCCCACGAGTTGCCTTCGCCCTGGCGGAGATTCGCTGTTCCGAGTATGGTTGATCAGTTCTGAAGGTCGCCCGGTATCCGAATCACTCCGTTCGCGACTGAACCTTGTGAAGGGCCCCAGCCTGGCTAAACCTCGATACGGATAATAGGAAACATTGATTTGGACTAGAATGTTGAAAATACAGAACTCGTGCAGGGAATTTCAATGAGATAAAGATTTTTGTCGTTGTTGATGCTAAAAGCTTCTATGTGCCTACCGAACACACAACTTTTTAAGTCATCGCTATTGAGATTGCAGAAGTATAATGTCACAGGGAAGAAGCGAAAGAAATATCTTGGCAAACATATACTATGTACATATTAGAGATGCGCGATTAACCACTTAATCGAACAAGCTGATAATTCGAAATCTGATTAATCAATTAATCAAAGAATACAACTTTTTGATTAATCAAAGTGACAAATTTCTCGATTAATTGCATTTTAATTAAACAGAATCTAATTCGGTTTATTAATCAGAAAACTGAATAATTGTTGCAGTATTTTTTTAACACCAATTACTCAGGATCTGATTAATTAAAGAACTATTTAATCGATTAGTCGTACATCCCTAATACATACACACTCAATTATCAAACAACCTCCTATACTAAGCTTAATTATATAAAAGACAATTTAAGAGAGCCAAAGAAAAAATTTTAATTATCTAGCAAAATACTATAGATCTTTTTGCTTGCGAAATTTTATTGACTCCGAGTTTCTGTTTTCAGGGCGATGGAAACACTTCATTTCTACGCGCAGCCCGAGCTGGTAATCTGGAACGAGTTTTGGAACATTTAAAAAATAATATTGACATTAACACCAGCAATGCTGTAAGTACGCCGAATATAAAAGTTCACACTAAGCTTGCTATTAATCTAACCAAATGATTTTGCTACCACCCACAGAACGGCTTAAACGCACTGCATTTGGCTTCCAAGGACGGACATATACACGTCGTTTCTGAGTTGTTGAAACGCGGCGCTATCGTTGACAGCGCAACCAAGAAGGGTAACACTGCACTGCATATTGCTTCGCTCGCCGGTCAAGAGGAGGTAGTAAAACTTCTGCTCGAGCACAATGCCTCCGTGAATGTACAGTCGCAGAATGGCTTTACGCCACTCTATATGGCAGCGCAGGAAAATCACGATTCGGTGGTGAAGTTGTTGTTAGCCAACGGCGCAAATCAAAGTCTTGCCACTGAAGACGGCTTCACGCCACTGGCCGTGGCTATGCAGCAAGGACATGATAAGGTCGTGGCTGTGCTCTTGGAAAGTGATACACGCGGCAAGGTGCGATTGCCTGCATTGCATATTGCAGCCAAGAAGGACGATGTAAAGGCCGCCACACTACTTTTGGATGTGAGTACAAAGTGGAAAGATGTTTTCCATCTATAAACAAAATATACTTCCGTAATCGTTAAATTATTTTATTTCCCACAGAACGATCACAATCCCGATGTAACTTCCAAATCTGGCTTTACACCACTGCACATTGCTTCCCACTATGGCAATCAAGCCATTGCCACTCTACTAATCCAAAAAGGTGCCGACGTTAACTTCGCCGCTAAGCACAACATTAGTCCGTTGCATGTGGCCGCCAAGTGGGGTAAAACCAACATGGTCTCCTTGCTGTTGGAGAAGGGCGCTAATATTGAAGCCAAGACCCGTGACGGTCTAACGCCATTGCATTGTGCAGCACGTTCTGGTCACGAGCAGGTAGTCGACATGCTACTCGAGCGCGGCGCACCGATTAGCGCCAAAACAAAGAACGGACTCGCTCCGTTGCATATGGCCGCACAGGGTGAGCACGTAGATGCCGCACGCATTTTGCTCTATCACCGTGCACCCGTTGACGAGGTTACGGTGGACTATTTAACAGCGTTGCATGTGGCTGCGCATTGTGGACATGTGCGTGTCGCCAAACTGCTGCTCGATCGTAATGCCGACGCCAATGCACGTGCGCTTAACGGTTTCACGCCGTTGCATATTGCATGCAAGAAGAATCGCATAAAGGTGGTGGAGTTGCTGCTACGTCATGGCGCCAGTATTAGTGCCACCACAGAGAGTGGTTTGACACCATTGCATGTGGCCGCTTTTATGGGCTGTATGAATATTGTCATTTACTTGCTGCAACATGACGCCAGCCCGGATGTGCCGACCGTACGCGGTGAGACACCGCTACATTTGGCTGCGCGTGCCAATCAGGTGGGTGGGGATTAACGTATATGTAGATGAAGAGAAACACTTTTAACTCTCGTTTATTTCTTTTGTTTGTTTGCTTCCATTTACAGACTGATATTATACGCATTTTGTTGCGCAATGGCGCTCAGGTGGATGCACGCGCACGCGAGCAACAAACTCCGTTGCATATTGCCTCTCGTCTCGGCAATGTTGATATTGTAATGCTGTTGCTGCAGCATGGCGCTCAAGTGGATGCCACCACCAAGGATATGTATACGGCTTTGCATATTGCCGCCAAAGAGGGCCAGGATGAGGTAAAAGAATTGATTGCGAAAAAGATAGTGGACCATATTGATACGGTTTATTTGATGCAATTGTTTTGGATACGCCATCAGGAGTATTTTATTTGATTAGTTCTTTTCTTATATGTATGCATATGTATTCTTTTCATTTGTATGTTAACTGTAATCTTCAACTTGGTTTGTTTTTTTAGCACTGAAATTGGAATATTACTTTAAGTTGGTTTTGTTTGATATTTTGTACAGCTACCGTTAAGTTGTTTCAATGTTGTTATTTTTTAGTTTGTAAAATGACAAATATTTCCATAAGCAGATTGGCACCATAGATTTCACTTATGTAAGTAGGTACTAAGTTAAATTAGCAGTAACATTTATTTTTTCCTAACACATTTGTATACTATCTTGATCATTAGAATATGCACTAAGTGAAATTATTTTTTATACATTCCTGGATAGTTCACCAAAAGTTTTGAAATTTTAAATGTAGGTCCCGCGTAGGTGGGCCTACTTAACGGAAACAAACCCACAAATTTTTAATTTTCCATAAAGACATTGGACCGTAAAAAAAGTTTTCCGGAAACCCTTGAGTCTAAAGTATTTTTGCAAGGCGATTTCAAAAAAAGTTTACATTTTTCCTGATACATATCTTCGGCGTTTATAATTGGATTTTAAAGGATGATATATCACCCTAACGTACTACCCTAAAATCAGTAAATTTAAGCTCATCAAAAATCATTATACTTTTGCTAAGGAACTATTTTTATTATAGCAGTAGAATTTTTTCTGGAAAATTTCCTACATCCGAATTTATTTACTTAGGTGTCACCGAAAAATTTTTTAAGGCGACCCCTACATTAGGCGAAAAATAAAAAAAATATAAATATTTTAGAATCAGGGGTGTATGGCGAACTTTTTTTGTTTGCTTGGTAGGTGTTACGGGCTTATTTACATTCTTCAATTTTTGAAACACAACTTAAAATGGGGACCAAGCCTTACAAGACCGTGACTACTAGCTTCCTGAACACAACTTTCTCTTTTTAATGTATTCTTCGACATACTAAAAGAATGATAATTTCACGTGGCATACCTCACTTAGATAAAATTGACTGCCAAACTTTAATTTACTGAACAAAAAATCTGCTTATGAAATATTTATATTCATCATGTAAAGTTTGTTTTAACGCATTATTTTAAGGCATAGATTGTATTATTTTTCATTATTTTTTTTTATAACCGAACGCCTTTGTTTCAACTTATGTTCGTTGCTATAAAAATTGTTATTATTTAATTACTGTGTTAAAATATTGTTGAATAAATTGTGAAATATAAAATTTCATTTCCTTGTTTATCATTTCTTCTGTAAAGGTACAAATACCATTTTTTTCATATTTAACCATTTACTTTTTAATTCTTTTGCATGAATCTTAACTTCAGTGTGATTGGATATCTACTTACATATGTATGTACATACATATACACGTTTAATTTATAAAATCTCCTTAACCAGGTCGCTGCTGTTTTGATCGAAAACGGCGCTGCATTGGACGCTGCTACGAAGAAAGGCTTCACACCACTACATTTGACCGCCAAATATGGTCACATCAAGGTTGCTCAACTATTGTTGCAAAAGGAAGCGGATGTGGATGCTCAAGGCAAGAATGGCGTCACTCCGCTACATGTCGCCTGTCATTATGATAACCAAAAAGTCGCTTTATTGTTGTTGGAGAAGGGTGCTAGTCCACATGCTATAGCCAAAAATGGACATACACCATTGCATATTGCCGCTCGCAAAAATCAAATGGATATCGCTACTACTTTACTGGAATATGGAGCACAAGCTAATGCTGAAAGCAAAGCCGGTTTCACACCATTACATTTGAGTTGCCAGGTAAGAGGTGTAGATTTGTATGTACTTATGCTTATACATGGTAGTATTTTGTTCGAAATGGTGGAAGTAACCCCAAGCAATCCGATTACTTTGAGCAAGAGCTTTGGTATTCAATAAAAAAAAGACAGATATAAACTAGGGTCTAGAGGAGCGGAGGACACAGGACCCTATAAGTGGTTATTTACGATTCTTTATCATTAAGAAGTTCAGTTTCTGGTCGAACTAAAACGGTATTTCCCCAAGACGTTTCCGAGATACTAAAGATTTACTCAATCTGAAAAAATTACTTAATCTTCTCTAGCCGTTAAAGAATTTCATTCTGTTCTCTGTTTTCTTCATTAATTTTAGAAACTGTATACCAAAAGTTATATAACGGTGTGAATTTTATATCGGAGCTCCGGACACAGAGATTTCTATAGAAGGTTGTTTGTTTTTTTTTTACACATAATGACAAACTGATACCTGGTGTCTTTTTTTGGAAGAAAGTACGTCTTTAGCTTTCCTACAAGGGAGCAATGGAGAGATCTAGATACACCCTTGGGGATGTTCGTAAAAACTTTCTATACCGACGGTTCAGAGAATGGTAATGTAGCAGGATGGCAACTGGATGATGCTTCAGGTGCTTTTTACTACTTAGGGTGCTATGGAAGTCTTCGCAATACTGAAAGTAGTAGACTGTATAACTTGCGAAAGCTGGTGTGGACATAAAATCAGGGTCTGTAGTAACAGCCAAGCTGCTATAAAGACCTTGGAAACCGCTCGCGCGCCTTAAAAATGGTACAGGAATGTAAGTTGAGGCTGAACTCGTTGCAAGGTGAATGAGCTTTGAACTTTTATCGGACCGGAGCCATTTTTAGGGCCAATCGTAGCGGAAAAAATCGGGTACATCAAAGATTTCTCTTATAAAACTCATAAAGCCGTTGCTGTAGTATTGACGCCTTTAAAACAACCAAGTGTTTTCTGAAAAGGCCAAATTTCTTCTCATACAGAGAACCAGTGATCCACGAGCCCTGTTAGGGTTGATTGCGGGGAACAACCCATGACTAAGACCTATGGTCGAAAATGGAATCCTGGACGATCCACCAGGTACATATTGCTTGGAAGACGACTAAAGTACAGAACATTTTCAATGCCCCTGACCGGACTTCTCCAGACTTAGATGGTATATTTTTGGGTTAGATTTATTGAAAATGCACGAGCTACATTTTTTCCCTCGAAAAAGGGCTAAGATTCATAAAGGAGTCTGGTAAATTTGTAGAAGGGCAACGAATTCCCGCCCCCTACATATACATCCCTATCATCTAATTCCTCTCCTAGGGCTTAGGTACAATGGTACCTGGCTATAGCTCACGGAACGCTGTCTGAGCATATGTGCAGTAAACACTTGCATAACTTAGGTAATTTTAAATGGGACCCGGGTAGAATGGTGTTTCGTAAATGGCCTAAAGCGCTTCAAAACACACAATCTACCCTGCAATTTTTGTCTTAACGAGTTGAGGAGTAGGCGAGAGTAGCTAGCAACAGCTAATGGACTAAGCTGTACTGCTCGATGAACGAATAACATGGATTTGGCCATGGATCCCCGGATTCACACAGGAATAGCTGCCAGTTTCGAAGTCCCTTATAATGATTTCTGCAGAATCCGTAGAGATTTAAAAGAGATAGGCTCATCCGCTCCAGAAAAAACGACTGAGAGTTTACGTGGTTAATTGATGTGTTGGCGTCGGAAGCCATCTTTATGTGGTTCCGATTTCGCATTGTGAGTAAGAAGCAACAAAGCTTCGGCTTGAATACTCGGTTTAGGCACTCTATGTACCGCCAGATACCGTAATAAACAGTTGAGCTTACCACTAATTTAGGAGAAAATGAAATAGCCTCAACGAAAAAGAGAATAATAGAACTTTGTTACGTTCGTTCGGTCGCGGTAACAGGGTGACCTGCTCCTTCCTCTGAATCTAATCTTATCTAAGATGATTTTTTCAAACAGAGTCGTTTTCAATTTTACTACGTTACAAGGTTCTGAACAGAAAAAGTATATTTTGAACAAATGTGAAATCAAATTAGTTTGATCGTAAGAAATTTGATTCAAAATGAACATTTGAAAACACATTTACATGTTCTAACTGTAGCTGAGTGCGCAGAGGTGCTCGCTATTATTTATTAGGTGCAAGAGATCCTAGGTTCGATTGCCGTCTGCATCAACATAAAGTCTTAAATTTTTATTTGGTTTCTATTATTATGAAAAAGTATATGTGAAGTGCAGAGCGAAAGCCTATTCAAAAGAAAAAATCCCCAGATAAAAATCTGTTTAAAGTAAACAAAGGATCGCTTGGCGGCAAATCCTATGTATGTATGTGTTTTAGTTTGAAATAAACACGATATGGTTTATGTTTTCTCCGTGTGCTCTTTCACTACAATCGAAAACAAAAATGCATGATTTTAATACAAATTTAATCAATTTCCAGGAGGGTCACGCTGAGATATCGAATTTGCTCATTGAACATAAGGCCAGCGTAAATCATCCAGCCAAGAATGGACTAACTCCGATGCACTTGTGCGCACAAGAAGATAATGTAAATGTAGCCGAAATTCTGCAACGCAATGGCGCCAATATTGATATGGCCACCAAAGCAGGCTACACACCGCTACATGTAGCCGCCCATTTCGGTCAAGCAAATATGGTGCGCTTTTTATTGAATCATGGTGCTAACGTGGATGCGGCTACGTCAATCGGCTATACACCGCTGCATCAGACAGCTCAGCAAGGACATTGTCACATCGTTAATCTACTATTGGAACATAAGGCCAATGCCAATGCACAGACCGTCAATGGACAGACACCGCTGCATATTGCACGCAAATTGGGTTATATAAGTGTTTTGGATTCTTTGAAATCGATTACAAATGAACCAGATGCAGCAACACAAACTCAAACCGATGAAAAGTATCGCGTTGTTGCACCTGAGGCAATGCATGAATCCTTTATGTCGGATTCCGAAGAAGAAGGTGGTATGTATTATGCTATGCAATCTACTATTTTTTGTATGTATCTCTGGTATCTTAGGACATTCGTATATATATATAAATAAATTCATTCACATTTGAAAAGTTTGCTTGGTTCTCCATTTCGTAAATCATACATACATACATATGTATTAACAAAGCACCCTTTATATTTCATTTAAACATCTGCATATAGAAACAATCGCTTTACAAGACAAATTCTCATTAAATCGTTACATATTTGTGAATGAATGTAACTAGATACTAAATAAAATATTATTTTGCTCTGCCGAAGAGTGTACTATGTATGTACAACCTTAACTGGTATAAAAACTTTGACATGCTACTCGAATAACACAATGCGAAGCACTCCACTAATGTGACACCAAGTTAAAAATCTTCCGTTATCCATTTAAGTATGTGATTGCCTAGCCTTATTATTATCAACCTAGTAAAATACAATACGATAATTTGTGAGAAATTTCAAATCAATTCTGAGTACATATTAAATAAGTTCTATAATTTATGAATATTTTTGTTTGTATGTATGTTTGACAAACTGTGTCTCAGGCGACACAAACGATTGGGATCCATGGTATGGCATAAAGGGTGATCGAAATACGAATGAAGACCACGTTTATCTTCCATATTACCAGGGCGAAACGTACTTTATGTCTAGTAAGTTTCACACATTGGGCTTTGCATAAATTAGCCATATAAAACCAAATTACAGTAAATTAAATAATAATAAAATATTCATATTTCTTATAAAGTTCCTTATAAAGTGTGTGTGCGTGTGGTAGTGTTTCCAACAAAATTTTTGGCTTTTTGTTAAAATGCGATCGGTTTATATATTTTTGTAAATAAATAGTAACATGTCAAAATTTTTAGACCACCCTTCACACTTTACGGGGGATATATGTACAAATGTATGTATGTATGTATGTATGTATGTGTATATATGTATAGCTATGTGTTATGGATGTGCAAAATCATTGTTGTTGCAAAACTATCGAAATCATCAAAAAAACACCACAACAAATAAAAAAAAATTTCGAAGTGATGGGAATCGGATCTAAATACTGCATTCGATTAAGCTGGATGATAATGGATGATAAACTACTGGAGGATTTAAAAAAGTTGGTTACCGTTCTAATTTTATGCCTAATTGAATTTAGAAATCTAAGATCCCAAAACGACACAATGGACCGTATGAATAAAAACTAAGCAATTGGTTTTTCTTCAAATATCCGACCTTTTACTTAAATTTTTGAGTAAATCGAGTAAAATATCTAAAGTTTTGAGAAAAAGCGATTGTTTAGTTTTTATTCATAAGGCCCAATGTATAATTGTTCTTTAATTTAAAATTTCTCTTTGAAATCAACGTTAAAGCAAGGAATATAATTAGGTAGTGGACTCACACAAATTATAAAAAAAATTACGATAACATATTTCTAATTATTACCTCGTATAACTGAACAGAACCGCTAGGGTAAAACGTCGCCACACACAGTGGTACAAACCTGGAATTTACTGTTCAAAATGGTTCAGAGCCTTTATTTTTTCATCTGATTTGATAATCTTTAAATGGAAGCTAATTTAGACGAGACTTATTGACGCCGATTTTTGAAGCAAAAACCATTAAAATATGGGTAAAAATTCGCCAAGTGTAACAGGAAAAAAAAAATTTATGACTGCATTTTGTTCAAACTCCACCACGTTGTTGCTATGGTTACTGGTAACCATTGGATGTTTTTTTGTCGAGTTATACGAGTTTAAACATGCAAATGTCAGCCCTTTTTCGTAATCGTTTCTTCGTTATTTTCGCACTCGGCATTGAAGAGCTTGTTTTTTTTTTAGTGAATTTTACATATTTTTAAAAAAGTTTTAAGTTAAAAAAATTTACAGGAGTGGGGGGAAGGGGAGAAGGTTAACGTTCAGAAAGAATACATGGAGTATTATATATATATTTTTTTTATTTAATTAAATTTTTACCAACTATTTTATTTTTTTCGTTTTTAAATAATTTAGTTTTCTTTTTAATTTGATTTTCTTTTAATTTTATGATTTTTAGATATTATTTTAAGAAGAAAAATATAAATTTTTTTAATTCCATTTAATTTTAGGAACTTATTTTGTTTTTAAAGTTTACTTTTCTTTAATTTTTGGGTTGTATTATTTTTAGAACAAAACAATTATTTATTTCACTTAACTTTTAGAAACTCATTAATTTTTTAATTACACTTTTTTTGAATTTAAATTGGTTTGAATTTTCAGCTTTTATCGTTTGAAAAGAAAAAAATATATATTCTTAAATTAAAAATTTTTTTTTGATATTTATATCCATTACTTATTTTTAATTCAATTCGATTTTTGATATATTTTTCTTTCAGATTTTATTGTTTTAAAGAGATTTTTTTTATATCTTTTATTTTAAAGGATTTTTTTTTTTAATTATTAGATTCTACATATTATTTTTTTTTAAAAAGAAAGACATATTTTTTTATTTCCTTTAACTTTTAAGCAGTTATTTGTTTTTTTTTGTGTTTAATTATTATTTTTTCTTTTTAATTAAATTTGCGAAAGACTTTTGGTGACGAGAGACTGTGCTAAATTGACGAATGCTGTGATTTTAAAATCATGTTTCGATTCGAGTTAACTTAGATGATGAATGCCGTGATTCGCACCCTGGTGTTTCCATCGCACAGTGTTGGGCGTTATTCAATTAATTTTTTAATCATCATGTTAACTGATTAAACAAGTAATTGCAATTAAATTAATTAATTAATTGTTAATTGTACTTACAACTAAAATTTTCTCAACACTGCCATCACAGACTGGATTTAAATGTTCAAAATAGTCTAGATGGGTTATAAAACTGCAACTTAAAATTTTCCTAAAAATTCCAAATAAGAAACAGGAGAATCAATTTTCTTCAAATTTGCTGCTTTCTCTGCACTTTGCACGGAAAAATTAAATTCAAAGAAATAAAAATTATAAAAAATCGGGCTCGACAATCCTCTTTTAAATTTCATATGCTTTATTAAATAAAATTAATTGACTCTGTTGAGAAATGAGGCACCGGACAGTAAATTCCAGTTTGGCACCACTGTGAGGCGGTCTTCCTGTTTGTCTGCTACAATACATACATACATGCATATGTATACACATTTCTCCAATTAATCTTTGTAAAGCAGACTAATCTTGATGTGTTTAATTTAAATCTCTTGATGTTGTTTTATTATAATTTAATTTATATGTATATATAAATGTTAATATAAATAGATATATTAAAACACAATGAACAACCTTTTGGAGACAGGAAGCAGTAAAATCCTCTATTTGAGGCGAAAAGTAAAAAAGAATTGAGGTGATTAGCGAAGTGCAAACAAAAATGATTGAATATGCAATTTTGAAAAGGGCGCATGTCCGAAAATAGAAACCATTGGGGAAAAAAAATAATTTTTTTTTTCCTAGAGTTGTGATTTTTTCAAATCTGTTCGCACACACCATGACATTAACAGTAGAATTAATACAAAGATGTATCCTTTTCAAGCTTCATAAATACAGAGAAGTATTTAGATTACATCGATGGTAATGGATTCGATGTTCCATTGCCCGACTACGACGAGGTACGAATAGTAATTACGCAGCTGAGAAACAACAAAGCTGCTGGAGCTGACAGCCTGCCAGCCGAGCTATTTAAGTACGGCGGCGAGGAGCTGACAAGTTGCATGCATCAACTCCAACGCAGAATATGGGCGGATGAACGAATGCCCGACGACTGGAATTTAAGTGTGCTCTGCCCAATCCACAAGAAATACGTCCCAGCCATTCGCGCCAACTACCGCGGGTTCAGACCTCTAAGCATAGATTACATGGTCTTATCGAGTGTATTGTGCGAAAGACTGAGCCCAACGTCAACGAATTGATTGGATCGTATCGACCTGGTAAATCCACCATGAACCAGGTATTAATAATAGGCAAAATCTCGGAAAAGACTCGCGAGAACAGGATCGACACACCCCATTCATTTGCAAATTTCAAAGCCGCCTACGACAGCACTAAAAGGAGTTGCCTATACGCCGTGATGTCTGAATTGGTATCCGCCCGCGAAACTGATACGGCTGTGTAAAATGACGTTGAGTAATACAAGGCGACTCCCCTTCGTGCGATTTCTTTAATCTGATATTGGAGAAGATAATAAAGCCGCATAACTAAACCGGCATGAAAACCCAACACGGAATCACTCTTGCCAACAAGTGCTACGTTGGACTGCGTATGCAATTCAGGACTAAATTGCTCACTAGGCGTACGAAACCCACACTCTATGAGTCACTCATCATGCCCGTGATGGTATATGGCGCAAAAGCATGGACAATGACAGCATCCAATTATGCGGCTGTTGGAGTAATCGAGAGAAAGATTTTGCCGAAGATTTACGGGCCCTTACGGGTTGGCGACGGCGAGTACTGCAGCCAATGGAACGATGAGCCTTATGAGCTTAACAACGGCATGGATATAGTGCAGTGAATAAACATTCAGCGGCTCCGCGAGGAAGAGGGAGGCCCCCACTGCGATGGAAAGAACAAGTGGAGAAGGACTTGGCTTCACTTGATATTTCCAATTGGCGTCAGTTGGAACAGAAGAGAAAGGACTGGCGGTTAGGCAGTCACAGCGCCAAATAAGAATAAGATTTATATTACATTTATATGAAAAAAAAAAATGTATTTTTCAAGTTATGGGAGACGTGCGCTAATCGAAATTGTAGCTAGGACTTACCAAAACTTGCTAAATTGTCGCGCCACAGCTTATTCTTGGGTAACTGTATGTAGGTAAAGTACCTAAGTATGTATTTAATTTTACTAAAAGTAAGTTTTCCACTATTTTCCACTCAAACTATATATTATTTCTTTAATTATAAAATGTAGAACATACGGTACGGGCTTATCTTTATCCGGCTACCTAGGATGCGGGCTATATTTGTATATGTACCCGAGTAGAGGGTAATACTTGTCCGCCGGTTACCTGTGTAGAGGGTTCCCGCGTAGAACGTAATATTTCTCCGGGTAACAGGTCATTTTTAACCAGGTATCCGGGTAGGGGTTTATCCTGATTCAGGTACCCAAGTAGAAGGCAATTTTTATCCGGGTGCTTGAGTAGCGGCTTATATTTGTCTGGGTACCCTGATAGGGGGTTGTCTTTATCCAGGTAGCCGGGTAGAAGGTAATATTTAACCGCGTAATCAAAGGAGTACCCGATTATATTTATTACAAAACGTTGTCAAAGTTGTCAAAGGGGAAAAACACCCTATCTTCCCTCAATAGGGGGTGCTTCATTTGTTCTCGCTGATAGAGTCAAGTTCTTGGGTGAAATACTGGACGGCTATGAAGAAGAGATGAGGTCTCTCTCCAAAAGTTTTGTACTAACTGAAAATACGACTCTTGTTAGGAAGCTAGAGCGCGTGCAAAGGGCGGCCCTTGTTGGAATCAGTGGAGCACTGCAGACCACTCATACTCTAGCGCTAAATGCTATGCTCAATGTCGCACCTGTCGGCATTGCAGGCGAAGTAGCGGCGGTTCGCTCAGCCATTACAGGCTAACCTAATATTCACGCACGCCGCCAATTTACTGTCAAAAATTTCTCATGCACATACAACTTGTATGGGACCAACCGAAATTGAACGACGTGCGTATGAAACTAAATCAGTTTCCAATTTTTGTTCTGCGTGACATTTTGATTTGACATTTCGCTCAATGAAATCAAATGCAAATGCTCGCAAGCAAATTTCGAATGACGCAAGAAAAAAAATTCTACGGCGTGGGTACCAAAACGCAACACGCGAATATTAGGTTAACCTGTTAGGCTCAAAAGCGCGGGGTTCTCTTTCAACCCAACGCACGTGCACTCGACAATTCTCGAAAACTTCAACTTCCTGCCTGAAAAAATGGATTGCAAGATTCTGAGGCTGGCCCAAAAAGGATCCATCTCCTCACATATTCCTCCAAAGGACCAATGAGAGAATCGTAGTCTCTGAAGAAGAGGTCCAATAAACATCTTCACATCTTATTGAGAAGGTGTTTACTGTCGCGAACTCTCAGTATGTTCAGACCATACTCGTTAAATAACACTGGTCTACAAATTTCAACTTTTTTTCTGCGAATAAGACGGGACCTGGTGTTTCTGAACGGATTTTTCGTGCTGAACACGAATCCGGGGTCAAAAATGTCCCATCACGTCACGTTTTCGAGAAAAAAGGGGTTGAAACCCCTAAAAACAGCGTTTTTGGCCATTTTCGAAAAATTATAGAGCTGAACCCTGACGTGGTACAAATTTTGCATATATCAGAAATTAAAGGCTAAACCGTGCCCTTTCGAATGAGCCCTATGCCGAATTGATCGCGTGCACCCTTAAAGCAGGGGGTGTATTTGTGTTTAGGGGTGCAGGAAAAATTGATCACAGAAAGAATTTAATCTTAAACGATCATAGAAAGTTAATAATGCCAAGGTTTTAACTATATTAAAAGTCGCTGATTACGAATCTGCAGTTAGATTTTAAAAATTTAAGAAATTTATATGGTCGTTTAAGATGAAATTCTTTCTGCGATCAATTTTCCCTGGACTCCTAGACACAAATACACCCCCTGATCTAAGGGTGCATGCGATTAATTCGGCATAGGGCTCATTCGAAAGGGCACGATTTAGCCTTTAATTTCTGACATATACAAAGTTTGTAGCACGTCAGGGTTCAGCTCTACAATTTTTCGAAAATGTCCAAAAACGCTGTTTTTAGGGGTTTCAACCCCTTTTTTCTCGAAAACGTGACGTGATGGGAAGTTTTGGACCCCAGATTCGTGTTCAGCACGAAAAATCCGTTCGGAAACACCAGGTCCCGTCTTATTCGCAAAACCCTTGTAGACCAGTGTAATTGAACATCAGCTGCCTGCGGAACCTTGTTGTAAGCACCGTTCTAAGAATTTCTGTAATGTGGTATCACAATGGCCAATTGAATGTCTAAGTGAGTTCCTCTCATGGGTCTGCCACATAACCTAACCTAACCTAACCCTATCTAAGAATTGGGCTGAAAAAAAACCATATCTCAGAATTCAGTTCAAAAACGCCCTATCTTAACTAAACATATATTGAAAATGAGCTGAGATTGAGCGTTCTTCAATCAAACTCTGAAACAGGGCGTACTTGAAAAATTTTCTGAGATAGGGCGTTTTCGAACTGGCTGCCGAGATAGGTCGACCTTTCACTCAATTGTCGATATATAGATGATAATATTAATATAGTAGTTTGTTAGCGTTTGGCCGAGCTTCTCCTCCCATTTATGGATGTTCTGTTGTGGATGTTCTCGCACAAAGGGGACTCCGAACGACGATTGTATTGTGAAGCTGTCTGCCGAGGGGCGACCGCTCTTAGAAAAATCTTTTTATTTTCTTTTGTTTGTGATGTATGTATGTCGGAACCTAGGCTCGATCCCAGGCCCTGCGGAATGGTAGTATGCATTTGTAACCATTACAACACAGCGGCCGCCTCACAATACTCGATATGAAATAGGCTCGATTTTGATTGTTTTTAGGACTTGTTAAGGACGGAAATTTGTATGAAGCTAAACTTCTCAAAACAAAGAAAAACTTTTTTTGCGACACAGTCTAATTAATATATGTATAGGGAATAAGAGGTTGGATGTCATCTTGCTTCTCTATAAAAATGAGATAACATGACTTTATGACTCAAGTATGAACATCAATATTAATTTAATAGACGCACATAGATAAACTTATACTGATGTTAAATATAGTGTTAACAGAATTAATTTAAATATATGATTAATTATACAAGGGATAATGCTGAAAGGGAAAATCGTAAAGCCAATTACTTAAAAAGTGAAACTACATAGTTATAAATGTTAAAACAATTTTTTTTTTAGATATTGATAAAAGCGCATAAATATATTAAGCGATTTCCGAGGTTCTCTTATAATGTTGTTCATATCGGCTTTTTAATAGGTGTCAATGGGGCACCGAAATTGCGCATATCGAAACTGTGCATTTAGACATTATTTCGGTTTCAACCGAAACTGTGCATGTATGCTTTATTTCGGTTCTTACCATATGCATTATTTCGGTTTTAAACCGAAACTGTGCATGTATGCATTACTTCGTTTTTTTTCATATGCATTATTTCGCTTTTAAAACGAAAGTATGCATATGCATAATTTCGGTATTTTCTCATATGCATTATTTCGGTTTTCAACCGAAACTGTGCATGTATGCATTACTTCGGATTTTTCATATGCATTATTTCGGTTTTCAACCGAAACTGTGCATGCATGCATTATTTCGGTTTTTGTTATATGCCTTATTTCGGTTTTCAACCGAAACTGTGCATGTATGCATACCTTCGTCTTTCACATATGCATTATTTCGGTTTTGAACTGAAATTGTGCATGCATGCATTATTTCGGTTTTTGTTATATGCATTATTTCGGTTTTCTAACGAAAGTGTGCATATGGATAATTTCGTTTTTTCTAATATGAATTATTTACTTCTACTTAGTAAGGGTTTTAATCCCTAAGCGCGGCTGAAAGCCGCCTACGCAGAGAAAAGTTCTGCGCAAAAATACGTCCGCCCTTCTTTTCCGGCAATACAGAAAGGAGAATTCTACTTAGTAAGGGTTATAATCCCTAAGCGCGGCCGAAGGCCGCCTACGCAGAAAGAAGTTCTGCGCAAAAGTACTTCCGGCCCCCTTTTCCGGCAACACAGAAATGAGAATTCTACTTAGTAAGGGTTATAATCCTTAAGTGCGGCCGAAGGCCGCCTACGCAGAAAGAAGTTCTGCGCAAAAATACTTCCGGTCCCCTTTTGCGGCAATACAGAAAGGAGAATTCTACTTAGTAAGGGATATAATCCCTAAACGCGGCGGAAGGCCGCCTACGCAGAAAGAAGTTCTGCGCAAAAATACTTCCGGTCCCCTTTTGCGGCAATACAGAAAGGAGAATTCTACTTAGTAAGGGATATAATCCCTAAGCGCGGCCGAAGGCCGCCTACGGAGAAAGAAGTTCTGCGCAAAAGTACTTGCGGCCCCCTTTCCGGCAACACAGAAAGGAGAATTCTACTTAGTAAGGGTTATAATCCCTAAGCGCGGCCGAAGGCCGCCTACGCAGAGAGAAGTTCTGCGCAAAAATACTTCCGCCCTTCTTTTCTGGCAACACAGAAAGCAGAATTCTACTTAGTAAGGGTTATAATCCCTAAGCGCGGCCGAAGGCCGCCTACGCAGAAAGAAGTTCTGCGCAAAAATACTTCCGGCCCCCTTTTCCGGCAACACAGAAAGGAGAATTCTACTTAGTAAGGGTTATAATCCCAAAGCGCGGCCGAAGGCCGCTTACTCAGAAAGAAGTTCGTTTTCATGTATGCACTATTTCGGTTTTTGTCATATGCATTACTTCGGTTTTGAGTCGAAACTGTGCATGTATGCATTAATTCGGTTTTTGTCATATGCATTATTTCGGTTTTGAACCGAAACTGTGCATGTATGCATTATTTCGGTTTTTTTCATATGCATTATTTCGGTTTTCAAACGAAAGAGTGCATATGCATAATTTCGGTTTTTCTAATATGCATTATTGCGGTTTTCAACCGAAACTGTGCATATATGCATTATTTCGGTTTTTTTCATATGCATTATTTCGGTTTTCAACCGAAACTGTGCATATATGCATTATTTCGGTTTTTTTCATATGCATTATTTCGTATGCACAGTTTCCATATGCACAATTTCAGGGTGCCGTGTCAATTGTTTGCGACATATGCAACGTCTACTTTGTGTGCTTTGCCTTCCAAACATTTACACACCTGTACATATTTTAAACACCCATACACTCATATTTAACAGAAGAAAGCGTTACCATTTCGATTATGTTCATTATTTTCTACCGACTTCCGTTTCATTGCAAATGCATTCTCAGCTTTCATACTTAATCCAAAAGAATATGTATATTGTATGTATGTATGTTAAAAAAAAAATGCATGTGTGTTTGCTCTTCAAAATAAAAAAAATATATATTATTTGCATATTTCTTTATTTATTTCTTTTCAAAATTTTTTTTTGCACTATTCGCGCCGACACCGCTAATAATCCGCAAAACCAAATCAAATCGGAAAAACAAATCGGATATCAATGGAATGCCAAATAAATAAAACTGTAAAACTGGTCAACTTGCCACTACACAACCACCACCACTACCACCACCACCACAACCACCACTACTGCCACTACCAGGCGAAGATAATATGCTTTCCGATCAGCCTTACCGTTATTTGACAGTTGATGAAATGAAATCTCTAGGCGATGATTCCTTGCCGATCGATGTCACACGCGACGAACGTATCGATTCGAATCGCATGATGACCCATAGCGCTGAGTATGCTGGCGGTGTTGGAGGTCAACCGCAACAGCAGGCCATCGCCGAAGAGTTGATTAGTCCACATAAAGCACAAATTCATGGCGCTGGCAAATCGATTGTGGATGGTATTTATATGGGTAACGGGCTTAATGAGGAACAAAAATATGTGGGGTAAGTTGAAAATAATTCAGATATGTATTTACATTTTTTAGCCTGTATATGTAAGTGCGATTATTTTTTTTATTATTCGTTTACATGCAGCCGAAAACTTTCTTGGAAAAGGTAGTTATATAAGTTATTTATTAGTAAAAAAGTATTATGTATATAGTATTCGTACAACTGAACAATTTATCAAAACGTTTGATTAGATCGAGGGCGTTATGAATTTGCAACTGCGTCGAGACAGTTCTGTACGATTTTATCTTTAATATTTCATCATTTTTGCTATACACTGACACATTTGCGTATGGGATAAAGAGTAATAAATACTGAACTGACTTTGTTGATTTTTATTAATTTTTCTTAATAGAACTTTAACTCAATTAACAAAAAATTTTTCAACCATGGAAGGTCTGCTTATTTTGCCAATTTTTTCTTACAGCCTATGTGAAAATATTAAGGAAATACTAAAAAAAAGTAAAAAAGTTTAAGTATTAAATATAGTTTTTATACCTTTTCGAAAACTACCGTTACATGTCAAGTAGGGGTGGTTTTGACCCTATTTCAAACATCTGCGATGGTTTTTTTCAGTTAAACCTAATGAGATAAACTG